TGAGGCAGGAGAATTGCTTGATATTGGGAGGCAGAGGCTGCCATGAGAAAAGATGGAGCCACTGCACTCCAGCCTGGGCAACAAAGTGAGACTTCGTCAAAAAAAAAAAAAAAAAAAAAAGAATAAATATTATATTACTTAAATTAACTCTCTTGTTTTAGCAAAGCCACAACACTTGAGAAAACCTACGGACCTGCATGGATAGCCTATGGACACTCGTTTGCGGTGGAGAGTGAGCATGACCAAGCGATGGCTGCTTACTTCACAGCAGCACAGCTGATGAAAGGGTACGGCAGAGCAAACTCATCAGACTCCGTGAAGGGATGTTTTTCGTAATAGAAATGAAATTTCTGTTATTATCACTGCTATGTAGTTGCTAAACTAAACAAAAACATTTTACTTGCCTTTTAATCTAGTTGCTTGTGATTGTAAAATAACTGAAGGTGGAGGGGTAAAGAGGCTGGTGAAGTGAATTTGCCTAGCAGTTGATTTCAACCAGTACAAGAAGGAACTAGGAAATTAGGCCGGTGGAGATGAGCTATGAAAGCCCTTCTTCACATGCTCACGCAAGAATAAAAATATTCATGAGCAAAATTATTATCTCTCATCTATTACCAAAAGGTGTTTGATGTGGCTTAGTGGAAAGTGCAGGACTGTGTGTGCCAATATTCTAGATTTATATCAATATTAAATGTGTTGATACTAAGAGTGTGTTACTTTGAGGAGTAGAGCACTGCTGTTCACATTGACTGTTTGGTCTCGCCATCGGTTACAACTTACAGGGTTTGTTTGTGTGGACTGCTTCTTTTGACTGGCGACTCCATCCCTGCCTGGAGAGGTAGTGGGAGTGCAGTGGTCCAGAGGCCTGGTCTGGAGTCATACCTCCTGGACTCTTCCTGGCTCTTCCACTCCCAGCCATGTGATGTTGGGCAAGTTTCTTAGCCTCCTGAGAAATAGGAATAATAGCAAAATTTACTCACTGGCTTATTGTGAGAAGTAATTGAGATAATACCAATTAAAGACTTTGAAGAGTATCTTACGCATAGAAAGCACTCAATCAAAGTTAGCTACCTTTGTTTATTGTAGTATGCAGGGGTGGAATCATATATTTATCTACATTGAATTTCGTCCTGTTAGGTTTGATCTCTTTGCAAACTGTTAGACTCTTTTTGGCACTCAGTTCTGCATCCAAATTATTATCAACCTCAGTCAATAGTCATATTAAATTTGGTAAGTATGAATTTTATATCTAAGCATCCAAGTAAATATTGTGAAGGACATAGCTCCTTAGCTGTATTAGTCAGTAGGGTTGCCCTAACAAAAGACCACAGACTGGGTGACTTAAAGGACAGAAATGTATTTTTTCATAGTTGTGCAGGTTGAGAAGTCCAAGATCAGGGTGCTGGCCAGTGCAGTTCCTCTTGAGGGGTTTCTTCCTGGTTTGTAGATAATTGTCTTCTTGCTGTGTCCTCACATGACAGAGAGAGCTCTGGTGTCTTTTCCTCTTGTAAAAACATTAACCCTATTGGATGAGAACCTTACACGAACCCTATTGGGTAAGAGCCTTACACTAGCCCTGTTGGATAAGAGCCCTACATTAGCCCTGTTGGATAACAGCCTTACACTAGCCCTGCGGGATAACAGCCTTACACTAGCCCTGTTGGATAACCTGTCTCTTATACACATCTAGATGTGTATAAGAGACAGGGCATTAGATTCTCATGAGGAGTGTGCCACCTAGATCCCTCACATGTGCGATTAACGGTAGGGTTTGTGCACTTAGGGGAGCCTCATGCTGCCTCTGATCTGACAGGAGGCAGAGCTCAGTGTTTACGCACTTACAAGAACCTCATGCTGCCTCTGATCTGACAGAGGCTCAGGCAGAAATGCAAGTGAAGGGGAGTGGCTGTAAATACAGATTAAGCTTTTTTTTTCTTTTTTCAAATGGCAAGTTCTTTCTTGACACATGAAGCTTTACTCACCTGCCTGCCACTCACCTCCTGCTGTGCCGCCTGGTTCCTAACAGGCCAGGGACTGATATACCAGTCCGTGGCCCAGGGGTTGGGGACCCCTGCTCTACATGAAACAGGAAACATTTGGATAAAAGAAAACTTAAAATACAAGGAAGTAAGGTATCACCCCATATGTTTTCCACGTTTTGTGGTATGTTCTCTGTATTCCTTGTGGGTTGATTATACAGTGTTCACTGTATAATTATACAGTTATTCGCTGATATATATGAGTCCAGTCCGTGTAACCAGGGTACATCTGTTGACCACCATCTACAGGATATCGCTTAATCTGTCAAGCCTCAGTATACCTGTCTTTAAAATATAAATGAATTTATCTTGCAAGTTATTAGGATGAGAGGATGTATCTACTAGGTTACATAGTGGAGTTTCTGGATTAAGTAAAATCTGTAAGTTCTATTTAGAATGCTAATGGGGTTTGCTACCATACATAAAAAGCTGTGACACTCTCTCCTAAAATTTCTTAAAATTTTGCTATACTGTTAAACAGTTTTAGTTTAAATGACTCAACATAGATGTTACATTAGTGTTTAATATGTTGACAGTTCGTTTATTTGCTAAATGAATGTTAATGTTTTTGAGGCCATCTCCTTATATAAAATTAATAATTTAAGAATAAATATTAGCCGGGCACAGTGGCTTATGCCTGTAATCCCAGTGACTCAAGAGGCTGAGGCAGGAGGATCACTTGAGCCCAGGATTTTGAGGCTGCAGTGAGCTATGATCATACCACTGCATTCCAGCCTCCAGCGACAGAGCAAGACTCTGTCTCTAAAAATAAAAAAGAATAAATAGACCGGTGCCTGTAATCCCAGCATTTTGGGAGGCCAAGGCGGGTGGATCACCTGAGGTCAGGAGTTCGAGACCAGCATGACCAACATGGTGAAACCCCATCTCTACTAAACATACAAAATTAGCTGGGCACGGTGGCGACCTGTAATCACAGCTACTTGGGAGGTTGAGGCAGGAGAATTGCTTGATATTGGGAGGCAGAGGCTGCAGTGAGCCGAGATGGCGCCACTGCACTCCAGCCTGGGCAACAAAGTGAGACTTCGTCTCAAAAAAAAAAAAAAAAAAAAAAATAAATATTATATTACTTAAATTAACTCTCTTGTTTTAGCAAAGCCACAACACTTGAGAAAACCTACGGACCTGCATGGATAGCCTATGGACAC